AAAAAAAAAAAAAAAAAAGAATCTGGAGATGGTGAATAGGGATGAAATGCGGATGAAAATCTTAAATTAAATATCACTTATGATGGTATTCTTATTTATCGAGTACAGAAACTCTATGGAGCAATCCGATGACTCTCTTATGGAGCCATCGATACCTTTATGTATTGACACATGTCCAATGTGCATTTATTGAAGGGCACGTGTTAATACATCATTTGTAAATAACTATGGATGGCTTCATAAGTCGAGCCATCCGATGCTCCATAGCAAAACCGTCATCGAGTATTATACATAAGACAACATTGAATAATTACCTATAAAATTGAGCGGCCCGACGAGCAGCTCAACCTCGCAAACACATGCTCAAAATTGACGTAACATTTAATTTGAGCTGTCCGAGCTTAACTTGTGTTCGATCAAACTCGAGCCCGTGCCGAGCTTTGAATCGTGTCCCCTTTTTTTTAATTTAATTTAATTTAATTTAATTTATAATCTAATTAAAAAAATAAGAAATAAAATATGTAAAGCACACGCGCTTACAGCAAGAGTAGTAGGTAGTATAAAATCCCATACCATACCCACCCCTTATAAAATCGAGAACTGTTTTTACTGTCAATTGTCAACATCAATTCCATCTCTGCCACCTTCTGGTCGGCAAAGACTGAGAGAGAGAGAGAAGCCAACTTCTTCAGGTGTCTCCTCACTCTTTCCTTTCTCTCTCTAAACTCTCTGTTATATCGTCATTTGCCTCTGCTCTCTGTCCCCTTTTCAAATCAAGATTCACTTTTTTTTTAAAAAAAAAAAAATTAACTTTCTCCTCCCTTCTGCACTCACCTTCCTTTTCCTTTAGCAAAGTTCAAACAGTTTTATGTTACGTTATTTCAGTGCACCACCAACCAACCATCCATCACTCTTTCTTTGCCTTTTTGCTATTGCTTCAAGTAAAAGGGTTCACATTTTTTGTGAACAAAGAAAACCAGTTTTTGGGTTTTGATTTGACAAATCGAATGCTGTGAGGCTGTAATAGAGATAAGTTCAGATTTGAGGATCCACAGAGGGGAACCAATTTTATCGAAAAATTTCATTTTTTTCGTGTAAGTCCCCAACTTTACTCTCTGTTTGGTCATTGTTGATTGATTAACCTCGATCTGTGTTCTTCTTCTTCTTCGGTTGATTAATTTATTAGCTTAAACCCCATTTCACTTTTTTGGGCTTTTTCAAGAATCAAAGGGGGTTTTCAGTTTTGGCCTCTGGTTTGTCTTGTTCTACTCTCTAACTCTTATTGAGATTTTTCTTCTTTTTCTTCTTCTTCTTCTTCTTCTTCTTCTTCTTCTTCTTCTTCTTCTTCTTCTTCTTCATAGGTTTGCAGAAGAGCCCGAAATGATTGATGTCATGCATTCAAATGGGAGGCCCATGAACCAAGCTGAGAAAAGCTTGGACCCTCAGCTATGGCACGCCTGTGCCGGTGGCATGGCCCAAATCCCACACCCAAATTCCAAAGTCTATTACTTTCCTCAAGGCCATGCTGAACATGCCTATATGAATCTAAATCTGAATAAGCTCCCAAAAATTCCACCCCTTGTACATTGTAGAGTGTCCTCAATCAAGTATCTAGCCGACAGGGAAACCGATGAAGTGTATGTGAAAATTCGATTAGTCCCCTTGAAGGAAAATGAATTCGAGCTCGCGAACGATGAATTCGAAAAAAATGGGGCGGCTTTGGGGTTCGAAAAGTACGACGACGATAAGCACAAAACCACCGATTCTTTCGCAAAGACGCTAACTCAGTCGGATGCGAACAACGGCGGGGGGTTTTCGGTTCCTCGATACTGTGCCGAGACGATATTTCCTCGGCTCGATTACTCGGCCGAGCCCCCGGTTCAGACAATCTTGGCTAAGGATGTTCATGGGCAGATTTGGAAATTCAGGCACATTTACCGTGGTACCCCTCGCCGCCACCTCCTCACCACCGGTTGGAGCAACTTTGTGAACCAGAAGAAGCTCGTGGCGGGGGACTCGGTCG